CGAAATTTTCTCCTTTCAAGCTAGGGTTCCTCCTTCATCCTCAAGTTCAAACTCTTGATTTGGGTAAGTTTTCTTTCAAAACTTTCCTCTTTTTCAAGAAAGATTGTAGCTTTATGTTTGTGATGGGGGTATGCTATGAATTCATATGCAAAGATCACAACTTTTTGTTCTCATGAGTTAAAAGATAGGCTCTTTGATGATGGGTTGTGGATGCACAAAGCCTTTGGGGGGTTTTATGCAAAATTTGCAATGGGGCCGAAATTTGGGGGACTTTTATGCAAAATGGGACTAAAATTCGTAGGGGCTTTTATGCAAAATGGGACTGAAATTTTGAGGCTTGGATGTTTGATACAATTGGCCACAACTTTGAGGTGTGCTTCATGCAAAGAGATCACAAATTGTTGAGGGTTTATTTGCAAACTTTGAGGTGTGCTTCATGCAAAGAGATCACAAATTGTTGAGGGTTTATTTGCAAAATTGCCCATAAATGTTTTAGAGGGACTTACAAATTGTTGAGGGTTTATTTGCAAAATTGCCCATAAATGTTTTAGAGGGACTTATTTGCAAAAAGGGCATAAAATTCAAGGCTGAAAACCAAGAAGTTTAGACCACAAAACCACTATCAAAGTTTTGAGAAGGATATGTGGGCGTTAAATTGAAATTTGTGAAGGGGTCTATTTGCAAGATTGGCTAAATTTTACAAAAGGGTTTATTTGCAAAATTAACCAAAATTATGGGGTGTTTGGGGTGCTAGATGATCAAATATGATGACCATGACCCAAATCGAGCGTGTCCTTGACCCGAATTTAGCCTTGAACACGAGGGGTATTTTGGGTATTTCACCAAAATTCAACGCAAAATGACAATCATTGTTTAGCATGCACGAAATTTGTAGGTTTAATTAGACTTCAACTATAAAATCCTACTTATTCATAGGACTTTAGTTCAAGTTCTTAATTTCCCTTTTATATTTCGTGTATTCATATTTTAGATTGTACCTGACTTGCTGCTTTTCATTGCAGGTTTCCGATGCCTCCACGCCGATCTCGACTTCCTAGGAGTCGATCCCATTCGCAGCCTAGCGAGGAAGAAGTTCCCGCAGCATCCTCCCCTCCAGCGGCTTCCTTTTTTGGGGGTGAGAATCTTTATTTCTGTCTCCCTGATTGATCCTTTCGCGGGTCATTAAGGAAGAACCGACACCCTCTCTCGCGGAGGTTAAGGTTTCGGACTTGTTTTGCTTAGCCAATTCAAGTCTTCTGGTATATTGGGACGATTTTGTGTCGTCTTACACCTAGTAGGTCGGTGTATGTTACCACGTTATCTACATGGTGATGCATACCGTTCTTCAAGTGTAGGACACTCAAAATCGTCTCTCCAATCATCCCGTGAATGATCTTATCTCGCTTCTTTATCAGATGGATTTTCTGACTCCATTCTTGTGTTTTGTTGCAGTCGAGTTCCCCGCGGGCAGCCTCCCTCATCATGCCCCTACAGGTTGTAGCCGGGAAGTCTTTTCTTCGGCTTCCATCAGGCAGGCCATTGGTCCACTCCCTCAATTCGACAGAGACTGTTCTGATGAATCCTGTCGTTTGATACGGGATGGAGGGCGCCATTGCTTACGCCAGCTGATTACGGACGCCTCCTTTACTGCAGATTCTACTTCTACTCAGGCTTTAAAGAAGCCCAGTTTTCTGTTCGGAGATCACACTGAGGATCCTGCTACGTTGACTCTTACCGAGGAGCATTGGCTGAATCTTCATGAGGGAGCTCTCCTGTATATTCCCTCCATTCCTCGTCGGAGGGACAGGCTGTGGAGCGACAGATGTCTTGGCATCTTACCCATGATGCTGAGCGGGTTCAGTGTGGGTATACTTCTCATCATAAGACTCCTGGTTCTGCCGGGTATCATTACATCCGCGGTCTTCGGCCAGGGATTACGGGTCTTAATACTGCACCCCAGGGCGATGTATCATCAGCTGCTCCTACCGTGAAGAACCGTCTGGCTCATCTTGGGAGGAGATTACCTCCACCAGATTCTAGGTGCTATGGTTGGGCTTTCTCACTACCCAAGGGATGGTGGACACGCATGACCAGTTATGTCTTGGGACGCTGGGAGAAGGACTGAAGAGCAGGTGGATTGTATGCACCTATACGAGCCACCATGTATGGACTCCAGGTCAGCTGCCGCCATTTCTTTGCGTTGTTGGAGACATACATGCCCGACAGTAACACGTTCCTGACCAGCGGCGGAGAGTTGGGGTTGGCCTTACACGAGATGCATCAGGTTTCTGGTCTTCCGATGGGGGATTGTCCATACCAGGAGTACTTTCCCTCGAACCAGCAGTTGGAGTGGTTGAAGAAGGATACTCCCGATATGCACGATACACTTTGGGACCTCACCTGCCATTATCAAACCTCCTTGATCCAGACTTCCCCTCCAGCGAAGAGGAAAAAGCAAATCAGCTTGAAGCAGTTTGCTGTCTATTTGTTCCCGAATTTGGAGGGTGATTCCGGCGAGCCCCTTCGTGAGTTGGACGTCTTGACCCCTACCACCGTTAATGAGTTGATGGAGAAGGCTGAGTCTCGTTCTTACACCATTGCCAGTGCTGAGGGAGCTTTTCCTGCGGGCACCAAGTTTCGTTCGTTCCTCCGCCGTGCACAGAAGTCCATTGAGCCCCGGACTCTACTAGCAGGCTATCTCGCCCTTTGGTTGAAGAAGTGCATCGTTCCGTACCAGCAGTTAGACGCCTTACCTCTCGAGGTGCTCTTCCCCGCAGTTCAGCTGGCTTATGGGAGGGAGCTTTCTCTGCTCCCAGCGATGGTTGCTGACATCCATTGCGGGCTTAGGTGTCTGGTCAGTAGTTTTACATAGGTGGGTTCTGAACCATCGGCCGAGCTTATTTGTCCGAAGGTCGAGCTTCCTTATGCTTATCTGATGGCGTGGCTTGTTCTTCACCGTCCTGACTTGATGTCGGCGCCCAGCGTTATTGATGTCCCCGTTCCTTTCGTGCAGCTGTTGGAGAGGAGTAGATGGCTCGGGAAGAAATTCAGTAATGCACAACGAGAGCTTTAAGTTCGTAAGAGCTGGGAGTTCTTCAAGTGTTTTCCTCACTTTTCGGGTCGCTATGGTGATGTGCTGATTGATGAGGAGAAGCCCAGAACTAATCGGACTGCTCTCGACGTAGGTTGTTTCCGCTGGTTGGTGAACATCCGCGTCGGGTATCTTGTTCTTCGGGTGAAGAACCGCTGCCACATTGAGCCTTACCTTCCCTGCTGTTTTGCTCGTCAGTTCGGCTATGACCAATTATATGTTGGGAATCCGAGCCGTGGTTTGAAAGTTGAGGGAGGGCTTATTGACGGCGTACGGGCATGGCTATGGACTATGGTGGGCTGCACCGGAGCCCACTTTGCTCTTCCTTCATATAGACGCCAGCCGATGATTACTTTCCTCAGTTGTAAGTGGTTCCTTTCTGCCAATGAATCCATAGATGTGAGGAGTCTTTCAGAGTTACAGTCTGAGCACTCGGTCCAGATCGCTATGATGGCTGCTCGTAAAGCCGAGCTTGCTCAGAGACAGAGGAAGAAGCATGCCAAACCTTCTTTCTCGAACCAAGATGATGAAGAGCTCCTTCCTACTGATGATGATGATGAGACTTCTACGGAGGAATATGTGGATACAGATACTGATAAAGAAGAACTTGACGCAGGTTTGTCATGCTCTTTGATCTTCTTTCTCAATTTCAATTGGCATCAACGAAAGATCTTGTTCACTTAATGAAATGACCCTTATCACCTCAGGTAGGACAGTCGACGATCATGAGTCGCTTGCTTCTCGTTGTGCGAGATTCGGGCCTAGCGGCCAAGCTCCCACGCATGTTGAGACGCGTGGCAAGTCCATGCATGAGCGACCCGTTGGTTTTATGAGGGCTGGTACTCCGAAGAAGAAGAAGACTGTTCATAAACCACACGTCGGCCAGCGTCCCTATGGAGTGGATTTAGGAGACATCGCCGATGGTGAAGAAGGTAACATTTTGTCATTTTCATTGCTTTAGGATGTCTCACCTTCTGGGATTCGTAATCATGTTTTATGTTCCAGGGTACTATGACGAGGGCGAGCTTCCACCGGACCCCGTATTCACTGATTCTGATAATACGGATAACTTCGTGCAGCAAATGTGCGACGCCATTCGGGATGGTTCCCTTCCAGGGTACTATGACGAGGGCGAGCTTCCACCGGACCCCGTATTCACTGATTCTGATAATACGGATAACTTCGTGCAGCAAATGTGCGACGCCATTCGGGATGGTTCCCTCGGTATTGATATGAACATTGACACCGAGCAGGCTAATAGTGTCAAGCCCACCACTCCATGTCCAGGTACGTCTAAATTCGATGATACCCTCCTCGAGTAGCATTTGGCGGAGTTAGAGAAATCAGGATTCATTATTCTTTTGTGCCTCGTATTCTTTCAGATTTCCTGAATAACTCAAGCATGGATATTGGGGAACAAGGATATTCTGTTCCTGCTGCAGGTATTTCTGAGCTTTTCCTTCTTTCCCATCTTCTTGTATATATATCCAACACTTAAACTATTCTGCAGATGTCGTGATAGAAAAGCCAGCTGAGGATCAGATCTTTCATGATGTGGGCTTCGAGGAACAGAGGTGTGCCTCTGTACCAGGTTCCTCGGGACCCGACGCTGGATTATTAGCCGATATGTTGGCTGAGCAGGCCACCAGAAGAACCGTAGGACCACCCTTTGAGGGTGATACATTCACAGGTATATGTCTGATTCTCTTCATTTTGCCCGGTCTTTTGTCTAACTAACGAAGGATTAATATTACAGCGTCAGTCATAGGGATTAACCTAATATCGATTCCCGACATATCTAGCTTACCTCGGAGTGACGGACTTGTAGGTACGCATACGATTTAGGGACATCGTGCTCCATTTTTATTTATCTGACTTTTGACTAATATATGGGTGCAATCATAGGACCAGCCACCGGGACTGATACTCTTATGACTTCTGGCATCCCCCGGATACCTAAGGATGATGGACCTACAGGTATGCAGATGACCTTATCATCCCGCCCTCCTTATTTGTCTAAATTTTCATTTTGACTAACAAAGAAGTGCAACTATAGGACCAGCCGTTGTGCCTGATGCTGCTACAGTTTCTGGGACTGATAGTTTGCCTGAGAGCGGTGTTTCCCCGCCACAGTCGAGAGGTATGACTGATTTGCCTACAGGGGTTGATATACCCTCCATGCCTACTCCTGCAGTTATTTCGGAACCTGTCGGATTTCAGCCTGAGGGGACCTCCGTTGGCATTGGTATGCTCGGAATTTGCCTTTAAATTTTCTTATCGTATTCGATAATCTCTTAGCTTTCCGAACTGTTTCTTGTAGGACCTCGATCATCCCTATATGAGCGTGTCCGCGTCCTCTTGGCTGATACCGATCCCGACAAAGACATTTTTCGTACAGACCTCGGCCTTTTTACCGTCTTTTATAACGGCATGATCGAGAAACTTCTTCATCGAGGATATGGCTTCGATCAGTTCAGGCGTTCCTTTTCTCATCACATGTCGATGTTAAGAAAAGAAGGGTATCCAGAGTTAGCCGATTCCTTCACTGCCGATTTTGCTGTTCTGGAGTCGGAGATCCGAGAGTTGAAGGAGCTGAAGGCTAATGGGATTTCTTCCTTCGTGTCCTCTCAGATGGAGCATAGGCTGGCACAGTGGCGCGACCTGAGATCTTCCATCGGCAGTGAACTTCAGTCACATGAGCGTTCAGTTGCGCAGCTGATGGCTACTATGGCGAAGAGGGATACAGATAGGGCCGAGCTACTCCGCTCTTTGGATTCCGGTCGCGAGGAAGTGGCTAGGCTGAAGGAGGCCTTGAAGCGCGCCGAGGAGTCCATTACTATCATTGCAGAAGACCTGGCTGGAGTAGAGCATTCTCGTGGACAGGCCCTCGAGAAGCTAGGATCTACACAGGAGAGACTGATGAAGCTGAAGAATGAAGCCGTGAAGATCTTGAGTAGTTCTGAGGAATCCGTCCGGGCTGGTCTACAGGCAGAACTTGAGCAGAGTTATATAGATAGGCTTTCTAGTCTAGAGTCTCATGTTCTTAGCCGTCAGCTGCCTTCGGGCTAACGAGCTCTTTATTGTATGCCTTGACTTGATCTATTAATAGAGACTCTGCATTTGATTCCCTTTCTTTATTCACTTTGAATTCAGCGATGATAAAAATTTACAGGATTTTTGGCAAACCCCCAGCCATCAACGGGTTTGATATGTCTTTACCGATTACCGTTTGAATCGGACTAGCATGTGAATTATTAAACCCGTCTCACATGTAACGTTGTGCTTAGAGACTGAATCCTCTAAGACTTGTTGCTATGACTTTGAATACATAGACTTCGCCGTTGTCATGGGAATAGGCTACCCAGCAACGTGTATTAGATGCTGACTTATCCCTACTTAGGCTTCGGGATAAAAATACCCCAGACTGGTATTCTGGTGTCTTTTTCAATCGGTAAAAGACTAAACCGGCGACGTGTGTTAGGCGTCGGCATATCCTTTCTTAGGATTCAGGATGAAATTCCCCATGCGTGTAAGGCATGGATTTTGGTGTTATTAATAACAACCTGCCACGATGTTGAATATGTGAGCGGGTGTTCTTTTTAACGGTTAAGAACTAACCGGCAGTGCGGGTTAAGCGCAGACTTATCCCTGCTTAGGTTTCAGGATAGAATACCCCAGAATTAAACTCTGGTGTCTTTTTCTACGGAAAAAGACTAAACTGGCAGCGCGTGTCAGGCGCAGACTTATCCCTGCTTAGGATTCGGGATAAACTTCCTAGACTGAAATTCTAGTGTCTTTTTCAATCGGTGAAAGACTAAACCGGCAACACGTGTTAGGTGTTGACTTATCCCTACTTAGGATTCGGGATAAAATTCCCCGTGCACAAAGTGCACGGATTGGAAGTTGGGAATTGTGTCTTTTCTCAGGGTAAAGACGGATTGGAAAATGGAAGAGGAAGAATTTTATATTCTATCTCCCAGCACTGAAGAGGAAGAATTTTATATTTTATCTCCAGTTGAAAAGAAAACTCAAGGTGGGATCTCCACCCCCAGAATCCAAAGAGATGAAACTAAGAGTGGGATCTCCACTCCGAGAATCAGAAAGGTTCAAACGGCCCTAACTTTTATAGGATTGGTCATTTGAATCAAAAGAATCCCTCATTCATTGAACCCTAACTTTTATAGGTTTGGTGGAAAAGGGAACAAAGGTGGATTTTCGTTTATCGAAAAGGAACGACTCGGTCTTAGTCCTAACTATTTGTAGGTTTGACTAAGTGAGATCGGGAACAATCCTAACTTTTATAGGTTTGACTGTTCGAATTGAAAGTGGACCTCTCGTTCATGGAAAGAATTGAGAGAGAAATTTGGCTTTGGCCCTAACTTTTATAGGTTTGACCAAGGAAGCAGTGGAAGTGGGAGTTTTGAGACGATCTTACCTTTTATAGGCTTGATCGTTCAATTTGAAAGTGGACCTCTCGTTCATGGAAGGAATCGAGAGGGGATTTTGGTTGTGGTCCTAACTATAGGAAGGTTTGACCAGGTAGACAGTGAGAGTGGGAGTACAAATCATGGTGGGGGTTTAATGTTTATCACCTTGTTCGTAATTATCGGGTTATCCCTAAGAAAATTACATATAGCGTTCTTCTGGGAACTTCCCATTACATGAATCATCCACCCCCAAGCTTCTTTCTTGGAACTGGGTCTGACTTTGTACTCCGTTACATGTTTGGGTTATCCTTAAGAATATTAGCGTAACATTCTCCAGGAACTTCCCATCAACGGTAGGAAACAGTTTAGACTCATATACCTATTGGAGTATCAGGGAGCAGTTTAACCTCATATACCGATTGGAAGATTAAGAAGCAGTTTATACTCGTATACTTGTCGGAGTGTTGAGAAGCAGTTTATACTCGTGTACTCTTCGGAGTGTTGCCGTTCTTAATTGGCTTATCCTAGCGTTATGACGCCGGCTTCAACCAAGGTTTGGATGCTATTCTTTAAAGTAAAGCACGCCTTGGTGGGATGAAGGATCCTCCTATGGTACGCGCAGTACTTCAGATCCGTGGTATTATCAGCTTCCTCCTGATTCGTGATGGGTGGCAGCTTGATCTTGTTGTTTTCAAGAAGGGTCTCGAAGATGGCTGGAACGTCTTCGTCCTTGAATGAGTACTCTTTTTGGAGCCTCGGATTAGAACTATTCTGCTGTCTTCGGGACTGCTGTTGCGACGTCTGATTAACGTCAACAACTGTTGTAGGCGCCTTTCCCTCATTATGGGAAACGAGACCCGGATTCAGAGGATTAGTCATCGGTTGGCATCTTTCAACCTTCCTCCTCCTAAGGAATCGTTCGGCCTGCTCTCCGCGCGCCTTTAACTCTCTCCAGGTATTGCGGCTCTACTCTCATAACGTCCAAGATGTTAATGGACAAGTTGTTATGACAGGTTTGCAAGACGAATTCCTCCGTGATGGGATCCTTGCAGTTCATCGCCCGATTGCGGAAGCGTTTGATGAAGGTATCCACCGACTCTCCGTCTTTTTGTTTCTCATCGAAGAGTGTTCTGATCGACACTTCTGCGTCATCATCGAAGAAATGAGCGAGGAACATGCTCTCCAGGTCCTCCCAGCTGTTGATGCTTCTGGGCTTGAGGTGGCGGTACCAATCGAAGGCGGGCCCGCGAAAGGTGCCAACAAATGACCGGACCATCAGAGGCTCGTTGCCAAAGATCACTCCCAAATGAGACCTTAAATAGATCAGGTGCTGAGTGGGGGAACCCTTCCCGTCGAACGGCGTGAAGTTGATCAGGTTGAACTTCACCGGATACGGGATCGAATCCCATTCTTTCGGGTAAGGACATGGAACGCCAGTCTTCTTTACCTCTTGAGCAGACATTAAAGCATTAATTTTGCCCTCGAGATCCTTCATCTTTTCGTCCTCACCTATATCCTATTTTGGAGAATTTTCGAGAGGAATAAGGAATAATACGGCCACCCCCAGTGTTATCATCATTGGTGGGTCCACCCCCAACGTCGTTATTTTTAGTGGGGCCACCCCCAGTATTTTTGGGCGGTGCGTCAGCCATGATGATTTCGTCCACTTCCGGATCGCTGTCAACTGCGGCGTTCTGGGTGCGACGGCTGGATTCAACTAGCTGATTTGACAAAGCTCAGATTTGTTGGTCGTGCATTTGTCTCATCTCCTGCATAGCCATTTCCATTTCGATTTTGAATGCTTCTTTCTGCTTGGCTAAAGCATCCTCAATGATTTTGGCTATTTGCTCGGTGTTGATCATGAACACTTCTCGAGCTTGTCCTATGCTAGACGTTGTATCGTCGGAGGCGAGTGCAGAATAAGAATCTGAGAGTTCGTCATCGGAACGGATTCCTTCATGGATCCCCTGGTAATCGTTATATCCGACGGCTTCTAGCTGAAGCTGAGCTATTCCCGAATTGATTCTTCTTCCTGGAGAGAAATCAGGGTTGGAACCACTTGAAACAATCGGAGATTTTCCCTTATCAACCATATTGACGGTAACCTCTGGGAATTTATCATCTCGAGTAACCGATCTTCTTTGGTAAAAATGCCTTGATTTGGGCTTCGTCATTCCATCGGAGATTCTCTCGAATATCGAGACCCTCTACGGAGCGGTCTTGGGGCAGCTACACATTGATAACACCGCCCTGATAATTTTCATATACAGACAATGAGAGTCCGTTTCTCGAGTACTTTTCTTTCGAGATTTATTCGTACCCCCAGCCCGATAGTACAACTCATCGACGTTGCGGTCGGAGTAACCTATCGGCTGGTTACATAAATTCTCAGGGATAACGCGTTCGTCTGTCTGACGCGTTTTCCTCTGAGTAAACATTGCCTTGTTGGCATCTACAGGAGTCACACAGATTTTCTGCACGCACCGCCAAGCGGGCCGTTGCAGAAATCAATTTGTTAGGAGGTCGCGTACGACCCCCAGTCCGGATGTTGGCTCGAAGCTCCTTCAACGATCTCCAGCTTTCCTTAACAAGCGCTTTTCCTCGATTCTCGGGTAGGGCACCGATACGATCTTTCAGAGGAATCCTAAACTTGGTGAAATCCGCGCTGCGGTAGGGCTTTACCAGAGGTTCGGGATCTGAAGTTGACGAAGGCCGGAGAGCAACGTCGCCTGCTTTTGCCTTAGGCGCTGATTTGGCTTTTGGCACCCAAACTTGTCTGGATCTCGGCGATCTCTTAACTGCCTCTTCCTTTTGCATTTCTTGTGCTTTTCGCACAAGGGTCCGGGCATGCGCAAGCAAGGTGTGTAGGCGTATAAAATTACCTATAGGTCCCTTAGCATGGTTCAGCATGATGGTTCGACAAATTAACGGATGTTCGAGCGACGAGGCGATAAAGCACACAAACAACGGCATATGTTCGCCTGTGGAACCAATCCAACAGTTCGGAAAGTCAACGAGTCGTCCAACGACAAAATAGATTTGTACTCAAACACCGAGGCGGAAATACTGCCAAATAAAGACCCGGGCTATCAAATCAAAGTCCGGACGAATCAAACGAAGAACTGAAAGACGGAAAACACCGGAAAACGGCGAAACGGAACACACCCGGGGACTCGGCCTAAACCGAGCCAACCCGGGGTGGCTCGGCCCAAGCCGAGCCACCCCAGGGTGGCTCGGTGGCCGAGCCACCCCAGGGTGGCTCGGCTAAGGCCGAGCCACCCTAGGGTGGCTCGGCCAAGGCCGAGCCACCTCAGGGTGGCTCGGCCAAGGCCGAGCCACC